TTATATTACATTATGTTGTAGTATATTACAGTATATTATACTACATTAGATTACATTATATTACATTATATTACATTATATTACATTATATTACATTATATTACATTATATTACATTATATTACATTATATTACATTATATTACATTATATTACATTATATTATATTATGTTATATTACACTACATTACAATATATTATATTATATTACATTATAATATATTATACTACATTATATTAGATTACATTATGTTATATTATACTATATTATATTATGTTACATTATATTTTATTACATTATATTATAATATATCATATTATATTCCATTATATTATATTATAATATATTATCTTTACTGTACATACTATATATATATATATACATACTATATGTACAACATGTACTATGTATACTATATATATATATTACTGAAATACTACCGTCCTTCCTTCCTTCCTTCCTCCTTCCTTTTTTCCTTGCTTTCTTCCTTCCCTGTGTAAATAACAGGACGTGGGAGCAAAAGAAAGAGGGCCAAAAAAAAGGGCACAAACAAAAATGGGTTCCTGTTCTTGTTTCTCTTTCATTCCTTGCTAGCTCCTGTGCTTTCTTGCTTTCTTTTGTGCTTCCTTCCTGGCTTTCTTTCCTTCATCATCTTTCTTCTGCTTTTCTTTCGTCTGGGGTTGTGCTTTATTTGTGTTATTCCTTGTTTGCTTTCTTGTTGCTTTTGCGGGACCGAGGGACCGGCGGACCGCAGGACCAGGAAACCACGGGACCAGGAGAGCACGGGACCAGAGGACCAGCAGACCAGAGGGCCAGAGGACTACAGGACCAAGGACCAGAGGACTGGGGACCGCATGCACGGACAGGACCAGCAGACCGGAGGACCAGGGAACCACAGGACCAAGGACCAGAGGACCAGGGGACCGCATGCACCAGGGACCCTTGGCCGCACCTCGCAAACAAGGGTTGGCCGCACCTTCCGACCCTGAACCCAACCCGAAACTATCCCAAACCCGATACCACAGCAAAACCCTAAACCCGAACACCCTCAAACCTGAACCTACTACCCTAAACCCGAACCCTAAACCCGAATAACCTTAATCCCAAACCCCCGAACCCGAATACCCTGAACCCAAAAACCGAATACCTGAGGCTCCCGCCCCTGAACCTAAAAGTACCCAAACCCGGATACCCTGAACCCGAACACTCTAAACACGATGAAACCCTTGCAAGTCTGGACCCTGAAACCCTAGACCCTAAACTTCCCCAAACCATGAAGCCGAATATCGGAAACCGTGAACTGTCAGTGAAACCTTGAACCTGTGCGTACCCTAAACCCGAATACCCCAAACTGCGAAACCCTGGACCCTGAAACCCGAAAGTCTAAACCCCCAAACCGGATTACCCCGTGCAACCCTAGGCCCTAGACCCTGCAACCGTTGACCCCAAACCCGATACCTGCAAAGTAAAACCCAAACCCTCAAAATCAGGCCTACCTACCCTAAACCCGAAAACCTGAATCTCAAACCCCTGCATCTGAAGATCCCAAACCCAATAACACGCGGAAACCCTCGACCTTGAAACCCCAGACCCTAACCTAAACGTAAGAAAAACGTACCCAACACCAGATCACAATAAACCCGTGCAACCCGAGACCCTGAAACCCCAGACTCTGAAACCCTAAACGAATCCCAAAGTCAAGACCTGCACTAAAACCCTCGACTCGAATACCCTAAGCCCCAACAGGCCCGAATACCCTGAACCCAAAATTCCCTTACCCTGGAAACGGTAGCTACCCAATAGCTGCCGTAAACACACACCGTGAAACTCAAGACCCTGAAACCCCAGAACCTAAGCCCTATTCTACAGAAAGCCTGGATCCGAATACTCTGGGACTGAACACTCAAACACGAACACCCCAAAAGCAAGTACCTGAATCCGAAAACCCTACACCAGCATGCCCAAACATACCTGCAACCCGAAAATCTTTAACCCGAGTTCGCCAAACCCAAGTACCTTAAACCTAAATACCCACAAACGAACACTTTAAAGGAGAAGCCAGAATTTTCCTCATACCCTTAAGGTAAAGTATAGGGATTCACTGCACTAATCTTCATAAATCCGTGTTCCAACTTTTGGGGTTCACTATAAACCGAAACTGAAACCCCCTCACCCTAAACTAATCAAGGGTCTCAGAGCTCGTCAAGAATTTCAAACATTTCTCATACATTCTCATACGCTCTGAGCCGGTTGACACCAGCCTGGTCGGAGCAGACAGTTGCATTTTGTAAACATGGGTGATTGTGAAGCAGGGCGCAGGACTTTAGCAGCATTTCATGGCTGCGGGTGTTTGCAGCTGAAGTGCTCGAAATGGCCACAAGTATGCACCATCATGCTGTACAGTTCTCTACACTAGCCACAGAGGTTATCACGGTTGGTCTATCGTTACCGTGTCTATCGTTACCGTGGCTGGGCCGTGGATGGTGCGGGGAACTGTACACTCGAACACGGGCATTGACATGGGGATAGAGCTTGGATTGCTTTGTGAGCGAATGGGGTCGCAGTGACTAGCGGACCCTATAACTTGCAAAAACAAGTTCGCGACATCGATGCTTTGTGGAGCGGATGGATCGTAGTGGAGGTGTTGCTGGTCGGGGCATGGATGTTCAGGGTCGTAGTGGACATGCATGCGGTTGGAGCATGGATTCGGCAGTGGTCGGATCGGATACATGCAGACGAACGCGCCAAGTGCCCTGTAAGTGCCCGCAGCTTGCTTGCATGGAGCCAACTGGTCGTTCTTAACACCCGCCAGGACAACACCGCGCTTTCAGCGCCAACGCTCTGCTAGATTCTGCGAATCAACGCACAAATCAAGGAACAGATTCGCAAAAAAAGACGGTGCCAGTTGCAAGTGTCGTGTGGCATGGATGGAGACCATTTTCGGGAAATGCTGCGACTTCTGGCTGGTGCCGGTGCCACTTCTTGATCTGATACCCCGCATGAATACAAGATCCCTGCTGCCTGTTCGTTCTTTGCGATGCTCATCCGCTGGCCACGCCTGAACTGCGAAGGCTGCAGTTTTGTCCCAAGATCGCAGCGGCCGACGCGAGAGGGATTAAATTTCTGAGAATAGTGCGATGGGAGGTGGCTGCAGGGCTCCTCCTGAGAACCGTCTGACTTCGTCTTAGTCTCCCCTTCTCCGTAGCCGCAGCCATCGTAGCCTGCAGGCCATGGCGTCCATGCCTCCAAAGCAGCATAGACCTCCCCAGCTTCTGCCCAGCTCAGTGCCATTTGTTGGCTTTTGCAACTGCTGCGCTGAGCCTGGTCGTTCTCGTCGAGATCGCCGGACTTGCGGGGAACCACATGTAGGTGAACCTGAGCCCTTGGTTTTCTCGTCATGAGGGTCACGACGAAGCAAGTTCAACTGCGACACTACGAGGCTCAAGCACAGGTTGACCAGAAAACCAGCCATCGAAGACGGCCCAATTGCTTGCCTCGGGCCACCAACCACTGTGAGGTCTACCCAGCTCCGACATGCAGAGATCCGCAATGGAGGCGGCGAGTCGCGGAGTCTCGATGCAGGTCGGATTTTGGCACAGGATGGTTCTGGTCAAAACTGTCCCTCCACATCCACAAAGCCACCACAAGCCGACAACCCGACTATGTTATGGATCAAGAAGAGGAGTCGTTTCAGACTCAGACAGCAGCGCTTTCAGGCTTGGGCTGTTGTAGCGAGTTCTCGCTCCAAGTGCACCTTCCGAGACTTCAATGCCATATCCAACTGTGTCTGTGCGGATCAGGCCTGGGCTCTCAAAGCGGTTCTCCAGAGATCAAGCCTCCAAAGCCAGGACTTACAGGAATGCAGTGACTATTTGCTTCGCCCCCGGGCGCCGCGCATGGCGTCTTCTGAAAGTTGGCTGAGTCCTCGTCACAGACTCGCTGCTCATCGCTGGTCGCCCCAAGGTTGCCTTGCCCCTGAGCCTCTCACGGGAACCGAGGGACTTAGCAACGAGGACCGTGTGGCCTGGCCTGCGCTGCGTGGATTGCAAGCACAAATGCACCTACAGAGCCCTGCTGCAGCCCGCACAGTACAGGCTGCAGACCGCAAACGGCCACCTGCGATGGCACATGCAATGACACCGGACCGCGGTACTGCGCTAAATGAACACCTTCTGGAAAGCCTGACAAAGCGGCTCTTTGCAGACGAGCCACAGTATCCGTGGATTCCAGAAGCACGGAGCTGGCCGCTTCCCTGGCATTCGAAAGTGGAAATCAAGAGACCGAGCAGCGATCCCAGAGCCCCTGAAACTTCGCCAGCCTCGCCGTAGCCGGGTTGGAAGGGCCACTTCATCCGAACCTCGAGCTCCCGTGGGCAAAGGACCAGCCGCAAGATTCTCGTCTGATGCTTGCTGCTGCATTGCCCCGCGCTGCAAAGATATTCCGATTCTGCCTAGTTTGCTGAGTCATAGGGTGCGCGATGGTGTGTGCTGACGGTCAGTTTTCGGCGCTCTGCGAGTCAATCCAGCACGGTCACTTGGGCAGGAGATTCGGCATCCACCTGAGAAGACGCTTGCACATCGTTCTGCCAGCGTGTGCTTCGAGAGATGGCTTCATGCGATGACGTTCAAGGGGATCCAGTCATCTTATCAGCAGGGCGAGACTTCACTGTGGAAACACACACAGACACACACAGACACACAGACACACAGACACACACACACACACCCCTGCGGCCCGTTTACAGTCGAGCTTCCTGGCTCGATAAAGTGGAAGGTTGTTCGACTGCTGCGATGATCGGAGCGGATCCAGCCGATGACTCCTTTTGCAGAGTGCAACGGAGTGGGCAATGATCGCTTCCTTGGCACGGATTGAGCGGCCAGTAGTTTGAACTTGTGGTGTACTATGCGGCTGGAGCAAAACTCACTGCTGGCAGTACAGGTGACAATCTGGCTGTGAGTGGAACACTGGCCTGGCATGCCACAACCTTTTCCGACTGCCTGCTGACTGCCGGTAGAACACCGCCCCAGAACAACAGATCTGATGAGGCGTTGGGCCCTTCGAGCCATGTGGGCAAGAGGACACCCTCGAGAGAATGGCGTCGGGATCGTGCTCGTCTTCAGGCTAAGCCGCTAGACTCCACGTGACCGACGCCGGTCAAACAACTATACTATACTGTTACCATACCTGATGCATCTCTGAAAAGCGTGCAACCGGTCGGGTCTGCTGGATCTGCAAGCTGTCTCTTCCAGCTCTGCACTTGAAAGAGTGATCCGTAAGTTGCAGGTTGCGAGACATTGGCGCACCAGCAAGCCCGCTTCTGAAGTGTTCGGGGTGAGACTTGCAGGATCTTGCAGCATTGCAGGAATCGAGTCTTCTCGCAATCCCGTCTGCCAAACCAATAAGTCTGGAGTTGGCTCGGGGAAGAGAAGACGAAAAGCAAGAGACTTAAAACGGCTCAGCGACACGAGGCAAGAAGTCGCCAGTTACGCTAGATATTCGTGTGCCTGTCCACAGGTTGACGAAGTCATCCCTCTCATGCGACTGTGAAACTCATGTCGCGAGCAGTCCAAGTTCGTATAAGAAACGGGCGTGGCCTGGCCTCATCAACCAAGCCCAAGCTGACTTGGATGATATGTCGAAGTCTCCTGGCTCAAACTTGTTTCTGCCTCTGCCTTGCCTTCAAAGGCAGCTCGGCGAAGATGCTTCTGAGGTGTCAAGCTTCTGCTTTTGAGCCGGCGGCCGCCGGGTTGGATGCAGTGGTCTCACCGACAGCGGTCTGAGTAATGGCACTGGCCATCCGGGTCGGAGCTGCCACAGGTGCGTCCCTGTTTGCTGCAGGTGTCTGTGCGACAAGTCTCTGTTGGTTGCCACCAGGTCCCTGCAGAAGTGTGCGATCCATCAGCTCTCCACGCAGGCTGGGAACCTCAAGCCCCAACGCCTCAAACAATCGTAGCTCCTCGGTGCGTGCCATGGGCGAAGATCCCAAGGCTGGACTGCCCCTTGCAGACCCGACAGGGCCCAGAGACAGCTGCAGACGATCATCATGGCCCTGTTCTGCAGTACTGTTCCATGCTGTCCTGCATGGGAAGAGCTTACCCGTAAGCTTCTAGACTGCTCTACCGGGTCTTCGTAAGCTCGCCTTGCGTACGTCAGTTCATTCTTCCACCGAGGCTCCGAGGAAGCCGTTCCTGTCCGCGCCCTGGCCTAGAATGTCACACGCCTCCAAGCGGGTCAACATCTCCTAACCACAAGCACAGAACAATCTACAGAAAAGGAGGGAGGGAGAAGAAAACAAGGAGAACCCATCTTTTCGAAAGCAAGCTGGTCATTGGCAAACGGAACTACGCTAAAATGGCACACAAGCAGCACGTGCAGCGATACGTTCAACATGGAAAAGACTAGTGGTTGTGGTGCACTGGAAGAATTCTTCGAAGTTCACCCCTCTAATGGAGCACCGACTCACTGTGGACACGGACAGAGACCTGCAAGCCGACACATTCAAAGCGAAGCTGAACAATAATCAACTCCAGAACAAGGACTGCAGCCACCAACTCTCGATAGACTGCGGACTTCCGACAAGCCCATCTGACTGTCCTCGGCCACGAGTGCATAGTCGATGCGCATGCCTGGTTCCCGGCTTTGCAGTGCCCAAATGCCCACACTGCATCACGCTCTTGCCGACCAAGGATCCTTTCCCGTGATATTTCGCCACAGTCTGCCATTCAGCTAGCAGGAGTCAAGTCTAGAGAAACACACACGTGCTCTTGCCCGGAACATCCCCACAACCTGATGAACAGGAGGATGCCCTCGCCAAGTGAAATAGGGTCCGGCCCTCGGAACTGCAGCATTTCAAAAAGAAACGTGCCCATCGGAGAGAAGCCAGCTCAGCGCACGACGCTGATGGGACATCGTCACTGGGGTGCAACCGCCTTCCCGAAACACGAGACTCCGTCAGACCTCATCTCATCTCAGTCTGACCAGCAGAGCCATGCCTGTAAGCATCCACTAGTTTTCCCGTCACGAGAAGTTCTTTGAAGCGTCGTCGCTCACCTGCACGCTTTGAGGAGCCCGTATCGCATGGTGCTTGCATTGCAATCCTTGAGCCCGGAAGCAGAGGCATCGCCAATGATCCGATTAGCCAAGTTTATCAAGATCGGCCAATGCCACGAGACCTCTCACTTAAACACGAAACGAGGCCTTCAGTGAAGCCAGGCTGGCCCCGCATGTCTGCTGGTTCACCCTGAGGCAGAACTAAGGCTGAGCAGCTTGCAACCAGCCCCCCGCGTGCCATTCGCACTTTCAATAGATTGCAGGCTGCCGAAGCACTCCTGGTAGCACTGCTGTGCGAACCAATCTGGATGCGTGACATCCTCGCACCAATTTGTTCAAGGAAATTTGCGTTCTCCGCCGAAGTTCAATCACATTTGCTGGGTTCTAGCCCGATGTGCTGTCTACACAGTTCTTATGAAGCAAACTGCAATGTGGCCAAGGCTCAATGCGTTCCGCGGCAACATTCAGATCGCCAATCCAAAGCAGCGGCCGATTCCTTTGCACCACGGCCTGACAACAACTTTTCCCACCGGCCAACATCTGATAAAGCTCCGTATAGTTTGTGTAATGAACATGAGCAAACAAAAACCTTGGCACCATAAACTGATAGGTACCACTGCAACACAATTTAGGATTGGCTCCTCGTTCAATGCTTTGTCCCACGCAGCACGTCTTGCGAAGGATTCCGGGTCACTGCCGTTGTTGGGAGAATATGTCCTCAGCTGTCGGATGCTGCAGTCCACTGCGCAAAGCCGGCAGACATGGCGTGCCAGAGTCTTTCTTTTGCGGCACATTTCGAGCACAAGAATGCGTCCGCCACTGATCGGCCCACTCCACCAATCCGACTGGAAGTTACTTCGATGACAGTGGAGTTTAATCCTCCCACACACGTCTCGATTTGCGATTGGTATGTTCCAAATGTACCCAACAAGCGGTTTCCGTGCGAGGAGATTGCCTGATGCTCCCCAGCACGCTGCCATCTCTCCTCCTGGCGAATCCTGGTGGTCGATTCCCGCAACATTATGCCACGGCCATGCAGTGCCGACAAGGTCCACAAGGTGTTGTACAATATACACTAGCCTCGTGGAGTAGAAGACGAGCACTTGCACATGTGAAGCTCGAACGAAATTCAACAAAATTGCCCCTTCCGCTTGCACTTCAATCGCGGCATGTTTCAGCAGCGAGCGCTGTGAGACTCCAGCATTTGCCAACAAGATCCAAAAAGTATCCGCCTCCAACCCGTCATGTAGCTTGAGTGCCCGTCACGTCGAGTAACGAGCCTTTCTGTTCGGTAGCTGCTGGACTGGACGACAGCAAGTTCGTGCAGAAGATGAGCTCGCTCTCTGTGGGCTTGCTTACAGTCATCATCAAGACATTGTTTAAGAGGCCCGACTCAGGACTGTGCTAACACCAAATGTGCCTCCGACCACGCTCCACCGTCACTGATGTGCCCCCACCGCTTTCACCCCAAACGCGTTTCGCAAATTCTCCCTCCCCACCTGCGGCATGGATGCGCGGGGCTCGAGGCTGCTATTGCCTGTAGGTCTTAGCTAGCTCGACTCCGCTGGCCTAGTGGCGGACGTTCTTCCTCTTGGGGAATCTGGGGTCTGCATAATGCCCCTTGTATGGGAACAATGCCCTCGCAATCTTCGTCTCGGTCGCCCAGCATCTGAACTGAGGTGACGGCGCAAGCAGGTCAAAGGTTGCAAAACTAGCCTCGACATCTGAGCAGATTTCTGCGAAAGTAACAGCACAGCACAGCCAGGATCATGAGCGACTAACTGACTAACTCCCTGATCCTCAGGAGGAGACGCAGATGATTCGTCCCTGCAACACTTGCTGCGGAGAGCTGTGGGAATGTCAAGGGCAATGACGACAAGATGCAGCTGCCAACCTCCGGATGCCATTTGCGATTTGCTGGGTCGAAGTGAGCCGGATGATCCACGCCGAACGTAGAGCATGTGTAGGTGATGCACGAAGGCCGAAGACTTCTCCTGATCATCATCAAAGTGCCTGCAATCGAACGAGGCTGTCGTCACAAGCAGGCAGGCAGGCAGAGAGAGAGAGGGGGTGAGATGAAAGTAGAAGCCGAGCTCCTGAATATTTCCAGTCAGCCAGAGACCAGTGAAAGCTATACGTCTTCGCATATGTGGCAACGAGGGTCCGCTGAACCAGGTCCCAGTCCGCCTTCGGGCGACCATGACTCGCACGTCTGCCATGAGCCAACCTCCGCATGCTGAGCCTTCTCCTGGGCTGAGTCGTACTTCGCCTTCGCACCAAAGCATATTGCGAGCAAGGGCTGCCGCATTCCACACAACCCTCATGGGCCTCACCCCGGCTACGCTTCTGCCCATCACCACGCTTGCAGCCTGCACGGGGTTCGAACAGAGAGAGACAGATGAGACAGAAAGATCGATTGCGGCACATCTTGCTTGCACATTCCAGTCTACAGGTTTCAGGCCTTAGGCAAACTGCACACAGAACTTCACTCGTCATGTCTCATGTCGATGAAACAGTCTGAGACTGGAAAAGCTTTGGCCTTTCGGACCGGCCGCGGGAAGCCGTACTTCTTGAAGACAAAGTACGTCCTCGAGTTACATGCTGCAAGCAAAAACTCGCAGACTTAGGAAAATCCCTCGAACTCAGGTAGCGTTGAAAGGTGATGCTAGTGGCTGGCTCTTCGTTCTCCAGAAACTGCTTGATGAGGCTCCTCGAAAGGCAGAGGAACACTAATCCTCGCTGCGGTTGCCGTCAGAGCCCCCAACAATTTGCCCATGAACACACTGGGTCACCAGTTGTTTCGCAGCTGGACGGCCAGCCCATTGACATTCCTGAACTCACACAAACAGAATCAATCGACAACAACGGCGGTAAGGCCACTTCAGGCCGTAACTAGCAGACGAAGTCTGCCAGGAGGCATATGTCTTGAGTTCGGGCTAAGATGGAAAGATCGGAACAAAGTTGCTGGGAGAGCGTCGCTAAGCTGGGTCGAGAAAAGAACGGAGAAAGGATCACGCACTGCAGCAGCTTTTGCAGATTCGCGAAACTGTAGAATAGAGGTGCAAGGCAAGTACGCAAGGCCTGTTGGCCGGACGCAATGCAGCGAACGGAAAGGCCAAACTACCATAGCCATAGCCTGTACAACAGATGAACCTCGCCTTCAGAATTGTTCAGAAGCTCCAAGTTAGCGAAGCCGAGCTGCTTTCCAGCCAAACTCGTGAAATATTCAACAGAAATGTTGCACAAACAGTTTTTGTTGGAAAGTCGACCTTCTGAAATGAAGCCAACCACAGCGAAACTGCAGAATTGAAAGTCAACTGCCAAGCCGCCAGGAAATGATCTTCTGAGGGTCGCCAGAAGCCTCCACCCCCGATGCAGGATCATCTTGGGCACCTGCACTCCGGAAGTTTACAGGATGCAAAGAGACAGGACCTGACCCGTACTCCAGTTTCTGAGGGTAGCGCTGCTTGTCCGCTGTCTCTTGGGACTGGCCTTCGCTACAGTGCTTCCATCAGCTGATCTGCTATCACTGCATCTTGTCTTATGCGAAATCGGGCGTCGACCCTCGCGATAGGTTGTGAGAATCGCTTTCTTCTTCTCAGTTCAGTCTGCCTCGTCTGCTGTGAAAGATACGTGCCATGCATCGAGTGTTTACTTTGCGAAACCATGAAACCAAGGTCGTCTCTGAGTATGCCCTATCGATCAATGAATGCCAAAGCTCGTCCTTTGTTATGACTCGTGTTGCGGTTGCTGCTACGAGTGCTGCTGTACTGCAGCTGCCAAATCTTCGTGGGTACGGTCGCTGGATTGGGGGCTTGGGGAGCTGCACTTGGTGACAGACTGGCGCGGCTGGTTATAGTCGACACGGCCCAGCCTCCGCATCCTGGGATACACCTGTCAGCATCGATGCATGACGTGTGCTAACTCCAACGTCAATGCAGCTCGCCTGTGCACCCATCTGGCTTGGGGCGTCGCACGAGGAAGCGATCCATGGCACACCATGTGCACCAGTGTGCAGTTCAGCATGTAGCGAGATGCTCTTCTTGCTGCATCTTGCTGCAAGCTGAAGGACTACTGGTCCAGCAGCCAAAGCATGCAGAATATGCTGGATTACATCGTGCTACGTTTATGCGGTATGACATTGAAGCCGACGTCTGCATCCGACGTCATCAGCGACCCACGAAGTGCCGACATGAGGAGGGAGCGTGTCGTCATGGCTCGTCGAGGTAGATGACCTACAGAATGGTTTCACATGTTCCGACGTCCTCAGTCCTCAACAGGTGAAAGCCGACAGCTGTACGGGGTGCCTTTTCGACAGAGGCAGGCCAGGAAGGTCACGACAGGTAGGCCCAAAATAGAGCCCCGCGTCGTGTCTCTGTGTCGTGGAACAAAAACCGGAGTATGCCTGAAGGCTTCCGCGGCTTTTGGAAGCTGTCCGCACGTCTCAAATCGCGGGGCCTGAAGCCTGGCCCTGGAGTCCAACTCCTGCAAAAAGGCCGAGTCTTCCCACCCACTGAGTACGGGGAGCACACATGACTGCCATAGGAAGATCTTGCGACCGATTGGTGCACGACATGCATCACATTCCAGAATTTCATGAGCGGTCATGCTTGTGAATCAATCAAGCAGTTTCACGTGAGCCCGCGCCTGATCAAAGGCTGACCAGCGAACACGCAGAGGGGGATCGCCCTCCTGATGCCAACATGGGGCTTCCGACTGCCCACTCTCTGGTTTGGCCCGGTGCCCAATGGGGTCAGGATGCAGGCAAAGAAAGCGAGCACGTCAGCTCGAACTCTCTGCACATCTTGAAACATGAAATGGGTCTTGCACTGCATCCGTTCAGGTTCTGGCACAAGACAGCGTGGATCGTCCCTTTCCCTATCCGTGCCGCCATGGTACCAGCTTCGCGCGAACCGCAGGATTGCCACTATGTCCCGCAGTGATTGACATTACGACTTCTTGCCGATTGCCAATACAAGCACATGCGCCTGACCGTCCACTGCAGGTCGGTACTCAATTCCACCGCTACGATGATCAGATTATCAGTGGAGGATGGGCTCTCCTTAGACTTTTCCCACCTGACCATCAACCTCGACTGGTATCACGCTTTCCAACAAATTATTCTGGAGGTTTTATGTGGGTCTGAATGTCATCCCGCACTCTATTTCCAGACCGATGTGGGAGTGGTGTGCCTCCCTACGTTTGTTCCACTTGACCCTGCCGCTTTTTGCCTACGTGTTTTGCCAAGCATGGGAGACCGGTGGCTCCCAATGACGCAACTGGAAACCTCTGGAACATCCCATCAGACTGTCAGGTCTGCAGGTGCATGTCTACACCGTACGACGGGACACACTTCTGGATGACCATACTTTTGATCTGTCAAAGCTTGCACAGCAACTTCCCACTGGATGACATTGACTCCAACTTAGCAGTTGCCCCGTTTGAAGTATTCCACAAAGCTGTCTAGGGGAGCCGACATGAGGCGAACCGGGGGACCACGGCCTTCCCACGCTTTACACCAACGTCAACTGACTTATCAGGTGATCCATCTTTTATCGGCGAGTGGTCACGAATTCCCCTTGTGCGTCGGGTGAGCTTTACCAGCGACTCTAGAAGCGTCCTTTCTGACTAAGCTTTTCCCCACGGTGGCCGGAAAATTTACCCTAGTCCTGCCATCGTCTCACCCGAAAAGGGTAGCGAAGAGCCCTGTATAGACATGTCCATCGTGTATGTAGTTTTTCCGGAACTTGTTCCCCAAGCTGTATGCTTCCGCCGACTCTATGTTTTCCCCGCACATTAGTCCCATTGACAGGGCTGCTGACGAGCGGTCTCACCTGTGGACACGCTCTGCGCGACTGAGAGAGAGACTGCATCCGTTCACAGCAAACGGTTCTGCTGCGAAGCGATGCACAAGGCTCTGGTTCTCCGCTGTTGCAGATGCATTCAATGCAGCAGGACCCGCGAGGAGAAAGACGGCCTAGGAGTGGCAGCATGTGTTGGTCGTAGTGTTCGCTTCGCCTGAATATGTGCTGTTGTTCGAGCTACAAGTATCTCCATGATCTTGTCGATCGGGTGTCTCAGCCGACACCTTCCCGAAGGTGGGCTATCGTCTCGGAAGAGGCCAAACACTCTCATCAACGACCAAGACTTCGGCTGCGGTGGGCAACTTGATCGGGGGAAACCGGGCATTCCAAGAAGAAGCTTCTTCTAAAAGCGCGTCCAGTGTTTTGGGAGCTAGAGGTAGACCTTTACAAGAAGTCGGGACCGATGTTTCGACTGGAATCCTGCGTTTCCTCCTTTGTCATCGACCGTGATGTCAAAACTTCAGCAGCTGAAATGTCTGAAGTCATGCAGGCGCCCGTCCAAAGTTCTCCACCGCCTTTTACAATGACGGAGTTACCTGGTATGGGCGATTCACGGACTTCGTTCCGTACCACGCACTGCCGGCAAGAGCGCAACGAAGATTCGTTCAGAACATTCGGAGTCGTTTCAAACTTGACTGTCACCCGAGGAAGCCTATGAATGGAAAAGTGTCGAGAATGTGAACTTGGAAACAAAGGAATCACCCTGCGTAAAAGGCTCTCTCTCGCTGCGACGCTCTTCCACGTAGTCCTCATCCACCGGCGTGCTTGGGCGCCCTAAGCGAGACCTAAGGCAGAGATCGTGCACGAAGTCATGGAGACGGATGGAACACACTGAGACTTGATGCCGCGCTGCGCAGCATTGGCAAACAGCGCACCCGCCAGAGCCCAAAGCTTGCGCAATACCGGCTTCGGAGTCGAACTCGAACAGATGTCTCAGGGGCACTCATGCTAACGCGAATGCATTTTGCATAATGGGCACATGCCGTATTCCGGGTGAAACACTGGGAGTGAAACTGGCATCGGCAACAGAAATAGTTGCCAGCATTCCTACCTGATGGCTAATCACGATCGACCTCCAATCCTAGCGAATTGGGTCACTCTTGGGACACTGTGTGCAGCTGTGATGCCTCAGCATATCGGATCTAACGTGCAGGGGACAGTTCATACAAGAAGACATTGAAACCATGTTGGTGCGCCTGGTACTTGTCTGGATGGGACTCAGCGAACTGATCGATCATGCGATCCACCTGCCAGCGCATACAATTTCTGAGAACTTCGCGATTCTCAGATGCTCTCTCGAACTCGTAGTGAAGCAGGCAAGCAGCCTCTGCTTGGGTGTCGTCGTCGCGACCCCGCATCTCTCGAAGGAAAACAATGACTGAGGCCTCAAGTCGTCCCTTGGACGAGGAACCGCAAGAAACCCATCGAAAAATTGTGTAGGGTGGCCAAGCAAAAAAGCAGGGTAAGATACCCAAGGTCGAGCTTCAGACCTCCTCGACACGCTCCGATCCATCATAGAGCATGCTGAGAGTCTCGGCAGACCAGCAGATGCGCGATCAAAGCCGCAGCTGCCCACTAATTCACATGCTTGCCTCTCCCATCATGTCCAGGGAGTTTTCCCTTGTCTTCGCCGCAATCGTCTCGACACCACTTGCCTTTGATGATATGATCCAAAGGATCCAATGAAAACCACACGCCATCTGCATCAATATGGAATATCGACTGCTGGGGCAGCTACCCAGAACTTGCGAATGATTTGCGTACTGAGCAGGTGGAGTTGAGGATCCACCTTAGCACAAGCGGTCAAGCACGTCTTGTACCGTGAAGCTAGAGCTCTCAAATCCTTATCGAGGTGCCAAGGCCGTGAAGACATATCTTTTCACCTTGCCGGGGTGCACTGCATTCTTTCGGAATGCAAAGAGACTGAAGACCCCGGATCATGCAATGCTTAGCCCGATGGCCTTCTCGAAAATGTTGAACCATTCGTCTGCTTCGTCTTCGTCGAAGAAGAAGGGCAAGCTGGCCAACAGCACCTGTGCTTAATTAGCCAGCGCAGTGTATCAAATTCTGATACAGTGCTTGGATAAAGTGCCACCTCGAGATGCTCTGTCTCCAGATGGTCGGGCGGGCTAGCCTCGAAGCGATGTAGCTGTTGCCTGTCCACTCCTACACGGACTCTCACAGAGCAGCGCAACCTCCAGCTGCATTGTCAGCGTCTTTGCGATATCCAAGTGAGGCCAGATTTCTGGCAAGCATGTCTCCTGGCATACATTGGATAAAATCGAACAACCACAAGCTGCAAGCACAGTAGCCTCGTAAGTACACGTGAAGTTGCCGTGCACGTAGGTGCGGCCGGCTTTGTCGTCGCCCTTGGCTAAGCCAGCATGGTGTCCATGGGACACGCTACACAAGAACACCAGGGCCCAACCCGCCTCGGCCGGCTCTTGCAGCAGCCGTTGCCGTAGGGCTGGTGTCTGCCCCAGAAGCACAGCTACCTTAAGGGCAGTGCCGAAAGTATCCGGACGCGAGACGGGCGAGTTCAGCTTTGTCCATAGCGTTGTAGTCTACACGCGGCATTGCAGCACGCAAGCAGATGCCTGCAAAAAGATGCATGCACATAAAAATACATGTCTTACGCACGCATGCAGATATGCGCACATACATATTGTAACTTAAAGAGAGACATTATGTGTATATATATATATATAAAAATGTATATATATATATATATATAGTTATCTATTTACTTACTTGTTTATAATCATCTAACCATATATTTATACTGATACCTATATTCATATCTATATTCATATTCATACTCATATGTATACTTGTATGTATACCTATATTTGTATCTTTATCTATAGCCATATCCGTATCCATACCCATATCCATGAATATTGTACATGTACATCTGCGAAAACATATACATATACATATACAACATATACATACACATATACATACATGTATGTATATACATATACATATGCACTGCCGCGGCGGAATATCCACGCTCTTCCAGTAAAACCGCATGCTGAACCTAATCGTGAAACCTGGCTGCAATGTCAGATGTACCGCGTGTTCTCTAAAACAGTCTTCCTGTTTTGATCCCCACCATAACATGCCGCTAGAAAACCTGAAAGGGACCCAAATGTGGAGAACCTCCACCGGAAAATCGAAATGAGGAGTAATTGCAATACTCCAAAAAGTCTTTCAGAGACAGAATACAAGTCCCATGTATTTCCAATATCTGAAACAATAATGTGGGTTCGTCCGAACTTTAATAAGAGGTTCTTTAACGTGTAGTTTGTCCGGCCTAATTAAGGAGAGCTCTGGGAAGTCTAGGAAAGGCTGAGGATTTAGGTGTGACGATCCTTATTCAGAAACCTCCCGTCTCTCTCAAAAGGGCTCCTAAGGTATATGGTCAGGCGTTTTGCGTTCCCGGCCCCCCCGCCCCAATGGTATGGTCTGGTAGGGGTGGGGGGCGGGGCTGGCGTGGGCGGAAAGGGGCGCGGACTGGATGGTGGGGTGGTGTTGCGGGGCGGCCAGGGCTCACACGCAAGCCCTTTGCAAGCCGTAAACCCTGCAACGTCCTGTACTTTAAACCCTACACCCAACCCTAAACCGCGCTTAAATACAGGCTCTAAGCCCAAAGCAGAACATACACCGCAAATCCTCCCTAAGCCCTTGTCGACTCGAAGCCGTATACCTTTTGACCGTAAACCCAAAACTCAAAAGCTTGAGCCAAACCCAAACCTCAAAACCCCACAACCACCCCACAGGGGGAAGAGGGACCCCACACCCCACACCACAGGGGAGAGGGGCCCCACCCTATATCCGGACCATTGACGTTTGGGGGGGGAGGCGAGGGGGCGCGGAGCGCGTGACCATATGTACTACAATTTTGGGGGAGTTCGAGGCCGGATTCTCGTCTGTGTGTGATTAAGACAATGTTAACCTGAGAATGATTCAGAATTCAGATCTTTGAATGGGCACAAAAGTTTGATAACTCCAGGATACCTGCACAACTCGAAAGGGAGTTCAAGCAGGTAGGGTCGCCGTAAGTCGAACTGATGTTTAGCTCGTCCAGAGGCTATTTGTATCGAGTACATGGAAATTCAACCCGTTGAATTTTCAATAGCATGTGCACAGTTCAGAAAGTTTCCAACAGAACGGCACAAGCTCTACTGGGGAGGGTTGGTCCAGAAAGAAAGCTTCGGGGTATCGAAATCATCTAGCAAAACATGATCCTAAGCCCTTCATCTTACCGAAGCCTTTCTGATTCAACAGGTTGCTTCGATGGCTTACAGTAAGGTTTCGACAATCTCGACAGGTAGGAGATAATTGAAAGAAGTACATATATCACCTGGAAAAGGATTCAGATAGAAACGGGCATGTGAATGCAGTTCAGGTAACTAGCAATGCGAAAGTTCACGAAAACTCAGACTTACGCAAATCATATCAATGACAGGATGTGGACGGCTTGGTCCAGACAGACGGCTCTAGTAGTGCGCAAAGCTCGTTTTGCCAGGATCCCTGAGCAGACCCAACGAATCTGGGCCGTAGGGTAGCACGTCCGGTACGACCTGTGCCGGTTGCGCCGGCATGCACCGGACGATCCGCGGCCGAAACCATAAGATTTACTCCCAATACAATTCCTTAAAACCAGAAAAGCCTGGACAACGAGGGGTACTATGCACCCATGCATGTAGCAGGGTGCGAAAAAACACATATGTATATGTGTATATTTACATATTGTATATATATATACACATGTATACATGATGGACGGCTTGGGTTGGGGGGAACGCCAGGGAAGCTGCGAAGCTGCGAAGACATCTGCAAAGATGCGAACCGTGTGGTCAAGTCGCTATTGTTTTGGTGTCAAGCACCGACGCCGGTGGTGACAACACCGACGCTGGTGCCAGGCGCCGAGATGTATGTATTTCAATACTTTTCAACGTATATATATATATATATATATGTCTGTGTGTATGTGTATATATAGGTATGTATATATATATATATGTATGTATACATATATATGAGGGTGCATGTGTATATATGTATATATAAATATCAGCGCGTACACATCTGCATAATGGAAATACATACATACATACATACATACGTACATACATACATATTGCATGCATACACACGGTCATGCAGTTCCACACACACATACACACCTACCTACCTACCTACCTGCCTACCTACCTACATACATACTTACATGTGTACGTAACATATATATATATGTGCATACATACATACATACCTACGTGTGGACATACATATATACATACATGCATGCATACATACATACCTGCATACAGACATACAACTGCAACAATTACTTACAAACTTTCACTTTCACTTTCCTCGTTGCACAGACGTCGACTGTGCTACGAATAGTGGAGGACAGGCTTCGAGCCCGGCAACGCTGTGATATTCACATCCTCCGCCCAGCAGCCAGGAGCTTGTAGCCCCCGGCACGAATGCCCAAAAGCGGGGCACTGACTACACCACTCTCTCATACACAAACAGGTAAACATCCCTTCGCAAGGAGTTTACCCGCTGTCGCGAGATTCGCACAGCAGGCACTCCGTCATCGGCAAGCATGAAACTGGAAGATATAGCACAATAGAGGAGAGTTTGGTAGTGACCCGTATCCCGGACATCGCCCAGATGCACGATAACAGAATTGAGTCGATACTCTGCAGACTGACAGTGGAGTCCATCAGTGAAAACAGGAATCTCAATGAAGGAATCAGGATCAACTTCGTAACGACGCTTACTCGCTCTCGGTCTGTCAGTTGCATAGTGAAATCGACTGATTTGCAAAATGACTATCGGAGTCGGAACTAAGGCTGCATGCTTTTCCTCCTGCTCGTGCCACTTCCGAAGCAGAAAACCAACAGAAGTCAGGCAGTTACAATCATCTTCAAGATTGCCCGGAGGTGGCAAGAGCAAAGGAGCTGAGGCACCAGCATCAAAAGTGCGGGGCACACCTTCGTCGAGGCCCCTTGATTGCCAGAGTATCGAAATGCGGTCTACCTCCAGCAGAGAGCCTTCACAAAGGAAGGTCAGAAACTCCGCCACATCATGCTGTCTACTCGGATATCGCCATCCCTTGACGACCGAGAGCCAAACTGGGTGCATCCACAAGTGCACCAAGGAGTCTGAGGCCCTACACAGCAAGCCACGAAGAAAGTCCCCATGTTGCAACTTGAACACATTAAAGCTTTGGCCCGGTTGGCATGCTGCATGGAGAAGGGCTTTCAGAAGCGAATTGGCATAACAGTAGTTACTGGCATTGCCAAATCTGGCCTTCTCTACCGCGTCAGGGCGGCCAATCTCTTGCTCAAGGCGCTCAATTGTAGACGTTCGTGACGAAGATAACAGCCTCCTGCCAGCCACGCCCCCGACTGAGCTAGGAGGTGCAGGGCTCGCCAGGATTTCTGCGCTGCTTCCACCCGGTTGCCCACTTCGAGGAACATTCCCAGGATTGGAGCTTTGTACTCCTCCGCCAACTTTCTCATCCCATGGAACCGTGTGACAACGAAGTCCTGAGGATCAAGAGCTCCTGGAGGGCTTGGCGGATTGTGCTGGGTGTCTGTGCATCCGCCTTGGTATCCACCACGTGCCTGTTCTCCGTGGGGCTCCACCGCATCGCTTGTACCAGCGACTCGTCCTTGGTCAGCCACTCCATCTCGATGGCTTTCGACCGGAATGAAGGGGAGGCCATCATCTCCTCGAACCCCTTCGCCACCCGCTCCAGCACATGTTGGAACAGTACCACTCTCATGGGTGATGTCAGCTGCTCCGGTGATTGCTCCTTCGTGCGATGCCAGCCCGACCCCACCGTATACAGGCTCTGAGCCAAGTTGCCCGGTCCTTGAGCCTGTAGGAACATGACATAGGCTGTGTCCTGGCGGAAGATGTTGAGTTGAACTTCTTGTCGAGGGACTATGGTCGTGAGGAGGTTCACCACCGCTTGGAGCTCCTCCAGCTTCTTGTCGCCGATCTGGGAGTCCTGCTGGCCCTGGTGGTTCTGAGTCGATGGTCCTCCCTTCTGTGGCCTCTGGCCTTGCTTGTTGGGCCAGGATCTGTAGGAGCGTGAGCCCCCCTTCTGGCCCTTGCCTCCTTTGCCGCCCTTGCCGTCGCTTTGGGGCTCCAACCGATTTTGGCGCTGCCACTTCTGAGGTCTGTCCTCCAGCTGGTCCGAGAGGGCAAACGGGTCCTCCAGTCCTCCCACCATGCTCTGGATCATGTGCAGCTCCCTACTGGCCTCTTGTAGGTCCTGGAGGTTCATGGGGAGTGGTCCCTCCCCCTCTTCGCGAAAGAACATGTTGGCCGAGGGTTCCGGATGGCAGGCCTGTCAGTCCTAAGTGGCCCCCTCGAGCAATACGGTAGTGGAGGTAGACTCCATTGAAAATCCCTATGCACGACCGCAGGTGAGCATCTTTGCGAGTGTAGCTCTGACCACAGTACTGACAAGGGTTCTGAATACCGATCTTGCTCCGAGTGATCTCCTGAATGCATTTCTGAATCAGCGGGGCTCGTTCTGG